GCATTTGTTTTACAACATATGGCTATTACTGCCATGGGATTAATATTACAACTAGTATTATGTAGTAGTGTAATGTAGACAGACATCACAACTAAAAGAGTTTTGAGTTTTTCTTTGTTCAATTTGCACACTGCATATGGGTTGGAGCTCTTAATTTTTAACTCTCAAAGTGCATCAGATTGATGAATTTAACATTAAATAGCACAAAATTTTCTTACGGGGGAGCATGCCCCCAAGGGTCAGAGGTGCACTCACCACAGATTTCACAAAATCCTGTGGGAAAAATCGGTATTGCTATCCCAATGCAGCTTATAGCTTGTTTTAGGATTAGTTCAACTTAGTAGTTATTTCATCCGTTAACTCTTACTCAATCCTATTCACTTATCACATGGCATTAGTGGTTTTAATAGGAGTTGGTATACATATTCAAGGGCGTGCAAAGTTCGGTTGTGTTTATGATCATATGTAGTGGGCCAGTCTGGGCCAAAATGCCCGGGTCGATTTTTTGTCCCAGTCCAGCCCTGGACAGTCTGGATGACATCAAATGAAAAAGAGATGCTGGGAAAATTACTGTCTGGCTACTAAAGACTGAGTGGCATGAGAAATCACTGAGCGAGGGGGAAAGCAGCAGTACAGCATCCCCTATGGTGCAGGACGCTGACAGCTCACTCTGCCCCCCACTCTGGCAGACGCAGACAGAGAGATACACAATAGATCAACAATGTCGGGGAGATTCAACTTCTGTTTGTATCCTCTTTATTATGCTTTAGCTATTTTGATACTGCAATAAAAACAACTTCTTATTTGCTAAGGGTTTAAACAGCAGTCATAGATAAAAACCTCTGCTAAAACAGACTTTGGTAAATAGACCTCAAATCTTTTAAATCCGGAAACAATGAAAAGCTGCAGATGGCCTTCATCGAAGGCACCTTACACTTAGCTCAGGAGATGAAACACTCTAATAAGCTGATGAATTGAATCAGGTGTCCAAACCTTTACTTAGCTAATTAAGAGGTATACATGCCATCAGAAAAACAAACACTACAGGATGATAACCAAAAAAGCCAATGTCATTCCATAATTCTCTGAAGGGCATAGTGTTGCAGGGATTATGTATTTTTGTAGACCAAAAACTGGAAATGTGTTTATTTTAGCACTTCCTGTTCCATGACCCCAAAGTCAGTGCTTTTTTTTTAATAGGTTCTTAAGTAAATAACTTAAAAAAGGTCAGTGGTTTACACGAGGTCAAGATATTTTTTTCACATTTTATTCCGACAAAAAACATAATTAAAGCACCCTTGAGATTTCATTAAGGGCGGTTGCTAACATGAATAAATTGGACTACAGAAGTTTCAGGGGCATTGTAAGGATACACTGGAGGCAAGTTGTAGCGGGAACCCAAGTGCAGTTTATTCAAAATAACATACAACAAGATCAAAACATAAAGCATTACATGGCATGAAACAAAACCGTGGACATAGACTTACACAACAGAGGTTACAGGAAACAATACTTGACCAAAACACATGGCAAACATGAGGGCTTAAATACACAGACTAATGACAAGACAAGGGACACCTGTGAGCAATGAACAGACGATTAACCAATGCCAAGACACATGACAGGATCACATGACAAACAGGGAATCACATGACAGACATGGAACATGACATGAACAAAACCAAAACGTGACAGAGACAAGATCAAATCGTGACAGGCATTAAACATTACACACCGAATAGGAAAACTCATCTCCCTTCTTTTTCACACCCTCGTTGTGCTTATGGCTCAATGACAAATAAAGCTTCAAAAAAAATTTGTTTGCTTTTTCAAAATTGATGTAATGCGTATTTTTGAGCCAGGAATAATGTGTTTAAACAAGTTTCAATTGTTAAATAACAGTTCAGCATTTTTTTTTTTTTGTCAGGTGGTGCAATCAAATATATTATAATTATGCAGTCTAGTGGCCAGTTATTTAGTATCTTTAGCATTCAATAGGCATTCTTTCACTTTGACTATTATTCGAGTTTAAATCAGGAATTTAGATGGTTGTACCACCTGATGATAGTTGTGCCACCTGACAACCTTAATAATTACATGGAATATGCTGAATGCTAGATTCTTTATTTCAATTATAAAAACAAAATACAAAAACAAGTGTTTTAGTCAACAGTCTCTATTGAAGTAGTAAATTGAGTAAAGTGAGTGAATTGAGTAAATTGATAGGCTACAGTGCAATATGGTTACTGTAGATACAGTGTAATCTTGTGATTGAATAACAACAAAGTCATGTTTTATATTGATACAAAAATAATCTTTAGCTTAATTCTAAGTTGTGAATTTTAAATTAAAATCTCAAAAATGCATTTATCAAAATGTTTAAAAACATTAAATGCATATAAACTTTAATGGAATACTATAATAACTACTGAACAAGATTATCACCTCATTTTTCTTTTTACAAGATATGATTCTTTTGCATTCTCTTGATATTTTAATGCTCATGATTTTAGCATTAGCATTAATGCATAATCATTAGCAATGCTAATGATTTAATGCTAATGCAATTAAAAATGATTTTAATGCTGTGTCATGCTTTCTGTCCCACATTATTTAAAGTGTTTTAACTACTACATACAAACAAACATTTAAATAATTTAAATACAATGCACTTATTGTCTACATACAGTACATGTCTTACATTGTACTATTTAAAAAATGCCAGCATGTTACATCTGTAATTAATTTCTGTACAGTTGACCCTTCTCTTACCCCTTAGCACCTCAACCCACCCTGAAACCTATACCAGTAAACATGTCCCTATCTTACCAGCAGTATCCCACCTAAAAAGCAGCACAAGTGTTTTGCTAATAATTTTATGTTTGTTTTGTTTTTTTTAATTTTTGATGTGAGTACATAGTTAGACACCTAATATAAAGTGGGACCGATTCTTTACTTGATACAATAGTCTAATTGAAAATGATTTTTCTGAACTGAATTGACTGAAAATGTTGTCAGAAGCTTTGTGAGGCTGAAACGTTTATAAAAGTTGTTCATTTGTGAAGATTAACAAACCATCTAAGAATCATTGTTGGTTTCAGTCTATTTTCTACAATAATCCAAAAGCCAATGGAAAGAAATCATATTGGGCTTTTGTTGAGGGAACCAGGGTGATACAAAAAATATGCCAAAACTGCAGCACTCAATTGGCTTTATGCCACAGCTTCACTACTTCCTGAACTTCAGCCAGCCCTTTGTTTCCTGTCTGTCATTATTGGACAAACTGATTAATCCAGGTGTGCCTGGCCTCAGTAACAATAATCAGGCACACCTGGATTAATCAGTTTGTCCAATAATGACAGACAGGAAACAAAGGGCTGGCTGAAGTTCAGGAAGTAGTGAAGCTGTGCATAAAGCCTATTGGTTTTGGGTTTTAATATCAGGTGTGCAGGAGGATGAATAGGGCATTTATGGATAATTCCAGCAAATTATGAAGATCAGTATCAGTATACAAAAATGTTATTGAACAGCTCTGTCAAAATTGACAAATTACCTAATCTTACATTAGGTGTAAAGTTCGGACTTATTTTCAAAACCAAGATTTTTCTTAATTATACCCATTTTGCAATGTCTGAAACTAAAAATAGCAAATGTTTTTAATGCACTCCAATAATGTCCCATGACATTCGACCTTGATCGAACTCGCTTGCAACTTTTTTTTTTTTTTAGTAATCTTTGACCTGAAGACCTTGATTTGTTTGATCAGGACCCTGAGGGCCAGAATCAAAGAACGCTGTATCAGTACAGCTATATGCAGCTGAGCTTGAAAATGTCAGTTTGGATGTTTCCAGAGTGAACAGCTGCACAGAGACCACGTGTGCGGCAAAACAGTTTACTGTGATGCAAAACACTACAAAAGCACAAAGTAACTATATCAGCTCTTGTTTGGTAAAATAAAAACAGAAGAACTTTAAAACGAAGTTGCTTACATGTGGAAATGTGCAAACATTGTTTCTTACATACAGATTCTTGCATATAAAAGCTTAATGTAAAACCAAGGATAGCAGTCCCAAACTATAACAAAATAAAATCTAAGAAAGAAAAAAAAAATCAGCAACTAAGAGCCCAGTGGAATTTTACAGTTTGTAACTTAAGGCATTTAAAATCAGTTCCCTCGAATATAGGCTACTGTTCAGTAACGATCGTCTTTGGCTACAGCACGAAATCACCCACACCACATCAGTCCTTGTATTCCGTGTATTTCTTGGCTGATCCATGAACTTTGCTGGCCGGGTACTTGAGTCGATTGAGAGCCATTTTGCGCAGAACAGCTTGAGGTAAATCAACGTGGCATTTCTCAGCCAGTTCAACCAGATAGATCAATACGTCGCTGAGTTCCTGAGCCAGGTGTTCCCGCTCCGGCTCGGTCCAGTCCGGTAGACCTTCCGCCACCTCCCCGCGCCACTGGAACAGCTCCGACACTTCCCCGACCTCTCCGACCAGCGCAAGCAGCAGGTTCCTCGGCTGGTGGAACTGGTTCCAGTTCCTCTCGTCCGTGAACTCAGCCTGCATGTGGCGGATATCTTCAAGTGTCGGTTCGGGGGTGAAAGTGAATCGCTCGGTCTGATTGCTCTTGATTTCTCCGTTCCCATTTACAGCGGAGTGATGGCTGGAAGTTTCGTCGTTGTGTTTGGGCATTTTGGATGCGGTCCCGTTTTGTTGAAGTGCCATTGTAACTGAGACGAGCGAAGGGCTAGTAGTACTGAAAATAAAGGGGTGATCAAAAATGATCATTCACGTGCAGGACCATGCGTGAATCTCCCGCCACCAACTGCCCCACAGTTATGAGATTTCGCGGTTTGTGAATGCCGTCATAAGAAATCGCCGGAAACATTGGCGTTAAGCCACTGGCATTGTGGGAGTTGACGTTTTTTCTTTATTATCCTACGGTACATCAGCGGGTTCCTGGTGGCTCTAAAACTACATGCACCAGCTGCCCAAACACAAACACAAGCATGGCGGCCTCCTCTTCAGGATACAGCAGAATGCTCTTTAGCCTGAGAAAATATACTAATAAATCACAAAGTTTGTATTATATTGATACTTTTAATTTCATGATAAGGACAATATGGACATCCGGATCAAAAAACCAACTTAAGCCCAAAGTACAGAAAAAAAGGTAGGCATCAAATAACCCCCAAAATGCTGTCTACTGAATATATTTGGAGACGGAGATACAGGCATTCTGACATTTGTCATCAACATGATACACGGAATTTGAACAGTCTTTCTCTGGTTTAATCGAATTAATTAATGGAGTGTAGGTGTGCTGACAGACTGCAAGCCCACACTTGATTGCTGACCTTGACTTTACATATGTGCTCTGAAAAATGTACAAAATGTAAATCCCATTAACAGATACTACAAAGAAGAACAGATGGTGTTTGATAATAGTGGGTTTGTTAAAAAAAATATACGAAATAAAATAAAACAAACTGATAATAATAATTCAAATGAATTAAAGTACTGTACATAGACATTCTTACAGGTGAGTCCATCCTGGCTGGTTCTCACATTTTTTACTCCAATTAATTATTCTTAGGGTAGGTGTATTTTTCTCAATAGCCACATAAAATCTTTGATGCAAAAAAACCGGTATTGATCAAATTTAATCAGTAAAACCAGCAAGTCAGTTATAATTATAGCCACATCCTGACATTTATGGAAATACAGCATTGTCCTGAGAACACAGTTCAACAGTTTATTGTGTAAAAAAAAATATAACAATAATGGAATTTTAGTTTGGGTGACAGAATTTACTAACACAACACATTCTATTGTAAGAGGGCTTTAAACTACACTACCGTTCAAAAGCTTATAATATTAGTTTATATCTTTTTAGAAGAAGTCCCTTGTGCCCCTCTAAGCTGCATTTATTTGATAAAAAAATATGAATAACAGCAATATTGTGAAATATTATTACAATTTAAAATACCTGTTTTCTATTTTAATATATTTAAAAATGTAATTTATTCTTGTGATGACAAAGTGTTACATGATCTTTCAGAAATCCTTCTAATATGCTGATTTGGTTCTCAAGTAACATTTCTCATTATTATCAATGTTGAAAACATTTGTGCAGTTTATTATTTTTACGAGAACATCATGATGATGAACATGATTTTTTCAAGATTCTCTGACGTATAGAAAGTTCAAAAGAACATCATTTATTTGAAATATAAATCTTATATAATATTAAATGTCTTTACTGTCACTTTTGATCAATTTAATGTGTTGTTGCTGATTAAAAATATTAATTTTGTTATAAAAAATGTCTTACTGAGTACTGACTCCAAGTTTTTGAACGGTAGTGTGTATTAATTTGATACCAACATACAAATCCAGTTATTGGACTTCTGACTCAAAGCATTATAGTAACTGAGATACACATTTTTACTTGTCCTTTTTCTTTTTATAATTACATATTTTTAATTGCATTTAAAAAAAAACATAACTCTCTCTTAACTAGTTTGACCAACTAGCAGTTAGCCAAGGGATAATAATCAATCTTATTGTTTGGATTTAAATTAGACCAATCTACCTTTTATTTAAACTTTGATTTATATATCTTCATATAAACTCATAATTTAATGGAATTGAGCTGCTGATTTTTAAAGCATTATATAATTGTCTTTTAATATCCTATGTATTAAAGTAACTGTAGAGAGTCACCAGTTCTCACCAACTCTTCATCTCTTGTGCTATGTTTTCTAGTCTTCCACAAATGGTTGGTGTTGTGGGTCTGGAAATCCACGCTCAGATTCAGTCCACATCAAAGCTCTTTTCTGGATCTCATGTTAGATTCTTGGCTCCACCGAACTCGCTTGTCTCACATTTTGATGCTTCGTTACCAGGAACACTGCCAGTAAGTAAATCAATTGAATTAACATAGAAATGAATAAAAAAATTGATTCTCAATTATATATTAATATAAATCTACACTATATATGTCATTTCATTGCATTTATAAATGCTATTGAATGTCTTGCTGCTTCTTTTCCTAAGGTGCTGAACAGAAGATGTGTGGAGGCTGCTGTATTGACAGGCCTTGCTTTCAACTGTACCATCAACAGGAAGTCACTGTTCGACAGGAAGCACTACTTTTATGCAGACATGCCTGTGAGTTCCCTTAGCTGCACACACATCTGGGTGCTTAATTAATTTGTCTGTAGTTTTATCTTCGTATTCCAAAGCATAGAAGTGCTGATGATACAAATGCAATAAACAAGAACATCTTTCTTATGCTTCCAACTCTATGTGGTTGTTATTTTTGATTAGCTGCTTTATAGATCCATCGTTTGTCAAAGAGACATGCACATATATCCAGTGCATCACTCGCTCTTTTCCTTAGCTTTAATAAAGAAGTGATGGCTGTCCATGCTGAACAGGCAGGAAACAGAATAGCTGCCACTAATGTAGATGAATAACAAGTGTCAGCTCTTAAAAGCTTAAAACATTCAAGCTTTGGTTCGAGCAATGTTTCAGCTCTGGTATTCGGACTTGTGAGGCCATATAGTTGTACAAGTGGGGGGGGGGGGGGGGGGGGGGGGGGGGGGGGGGGGGGGGGGGGCGGGGGGGGGGGGGCTAGACATTTAGGAACATAAATATGTTCTTAATACTATCACCACCAAACAAGCGCTACAAACCCATCGAGTGCTTTATTTGAATAATATTTTCCCTCAAAATTTGGGTTCGAAAATCACAGAGCTTATTTCAGGCATTTAACCTAAAACCAATTAAAAAAAACAACAACACTGATTTCAAGACGATGGAAGTGGAAGTGTGAAAATGCTAACTTGTTTTCATGTTTTGGCCTACAAAAAAAAAAACCCTACAAACAATTAGCTATAAGTCAACAGTTTAATATGCAGTATATACAAATAAATTAGTTGATTTTAAATGTAGAGAGATTTTCAAGTGGTGGATTACTGTAGAGTGAGATTGCTGCATTTCTTGCTTCCATGGTAACAACGCCTTCTCTTATTGGTTGATCTCTTTTGAGCAGTGTGGGTAATGTAGTTCTCCATTGGGAATTCTGCAACTGAATATGATGTTCTTAAAATGAAATTGTGTAGCTCGGTCTGAAGCTATCTCTGAACAACCCTGGAGCTTAAGATAATCTTCTTTAAAGGTTATATATTTTATCATCATTAAAAACCTAATAATAAGTTGGATTTTATTTCCTCTGGAACACGACTGTTGTGCTCTCAAGTCTTTTCAATGATCCTTTGGACAAAGTCCCTTTACAGATTGATTTTTGTTGTATCAGCGCATCATAATTGAAGACCAGATACACCGATATCTCTTGTGTAAAGACACAGTGTTTGAAATTAACTTGTAATTAAATAGCATTATTAGACTAAGTGCAAATGTCATTTTAGTTCCGACACAAAATAACCGCAAGACAAAATATGTTTTGAATTCATGCATATATTTGAACAGTTATACGAGTGATTTGTGAGGCATGTCCTCTTTTCTTGAATTACCGGTATGCATTGACATTACCAAATGGATTGCTAAACCAATTTTAAGCCAAAATAAACAAAGGTAATCAAGGACTTGCTTGAAAAATCAAAATCGAGTTGGCATTGAGAAAGCTCAGATATTGAAATGGAGGAGGGAATCTTTGACTTCTGAGGAATCTGTCACTCTTCATTAGTGCTAATTTAATTTCTTAAGTGCTTACATTTGTTTGTTTTTGTGCTAGTGATGAAGTAGTTGATCAGGTACAACACACAGATGGTAATGGATAATTGCTTCTTCCCCTTTCCTTTACTCTTTTGCATGCCAATAACTATGATACATTTCTAGTGGCTTTTTGGTCATGGTGTTGCCATAGCAACAGTTACGAGTGCTCTGTTTTGCTTCACAGTTAAACTGAAGGAGGTTGAAAATGTAGCCAGATCACAAATATCTGTATGTGGTTTCATTTAGTCATAACCCTAATCCTGGCCTTTTAACCCTATCCAACCCCAGATTTGATCCTGATGATGGTTCTTCACAAAAGACTACTGTGATTATACAATTTTGATGTTTTAAGGTCATACAATTAGATTTCAAGTCAAATCTGAAAGAGGTCTGACCCAAAACACATCACATCAGTGGCTTTGATGCTACAGTCACCCAAATGTGACAATCTCCTAAAATACAAAAGGCAACTATATTTTAATGTTTAAAGAAAGACCTCATTTATACTGTGTAAAAAATATTATAAATACACTACCCTTCAAAAGTTTGGGGTTGATCTGATTTTTGAAAGAAGTCTCTTATGCTTTTATTTGATCTGTGATGGTAAAGCTTATTTTTCAGCATCATTACTCCAGTCTTCAGTGTCACATGATCCTTCAGAAATCATTCCAATATGCTGATTTGCTGCTCAAGAAGCATTTCTTTTCATTATCAATGTTGAAAACAGTTGTGCTGCTTAATATTTTTGTGGAAACCGTGATAAAAATTTTTTCCTCGTGATGAATAGAATTATAGAAACTTCAAAAGAACAGCATTTATTTGGTAACAATGCAAAAGTCTTTACTGTCACTTTTGATCAATTTAATGCATCCTTGCTGAATAAAAGTATTAACTTATTAAAGGGGTCCTATTATGACCTTTTACGAAGTCTTGATTTTGTTTTTGGGGTGTACTAGAATATGTTTTCATGCTTGATTGTTCAAAAAACTCATTATTTTTCACATATTTTGCATTGTACAGCTCCTCTCTCCCCAGTCTGGCTCAAATACGCCAATTTCGACGAAGCCCCTCCTTCTGAAATATGAAATGTGCTGTGATTGGTTAGCTGGCCCAGTGTGTTGGGATTGGCACCGCTTTGCACGTGTTCGATAAATGTCCCGCCCCTCCATAACTGCGAGTTCTTCTCTCTAGTGTAAATATTAAGGTTATTTCAAACCTATTTGAGCCCGATTCAGACCCTGACAATGTTAACAAACAAGAGGATCGTCCAGAACGGATTTCATGCACAGACTTTGCAAGCACCGATTTCACAGGATGTGTCAGAGAGGTGTTTTTTGTAATTTTCTTATACATTATATATATATAGATGTTTCCACCATTTAATCATGACATTTGTCAGAAAACTAAGGTGATATAAACATTATTTGATCACAAAACCATGGTTTATTTTTCCTAAGAAGCGGTGAACCCTCTAATAAAAGCGAGAGCTTACAAAAGCAACAGAAAACAAGCTGTTCTCCATAAAATGTGCAGCGCACAGATAAACGTTGGGGTTATAATGTTCAGGAACAGTGTTTAAAATACATTTTTACCACTCTAAGTTCGTCAGCCTTAGGAAGGTTAAACAAATGAGTTTTGGAAATGTTGTGGAAAAAACAGTCTCTCTTTGACATAGCGACTTTTCTAATGCAGCTCAACCAGGCCTCGTCCACTTTTTTGCATATGCTGTGGGCACGGATTATTTAAATGAGTACCATTGTGACTGTAGTTCAAACGAGCTGTTCGTTGTAGTTCTTGGAAAGTGGATTCTGTTATATAAAATATCTCCCTTTGGAGTGGACTTTGAGCTTTGTAACCTTGTAGATCTTTTTATGCTCAAACAGCAACATTACACACTAATTAAAGTTGAAAAAGTGGAAAAGCATGATAGGACCCCTTTTAAAAAATTTTTTTGAACTGTAGTGTATGTGTAAAATATTGTCTAGAAAATATTTATTAGTTTCTATTAGGTTATATTAAGTAACTGTGATTTAATATTATTTCTGACCAGTATTTAAAATGCAGAATAAAATTGTAACAATGACAAAATCTATCATTGTTTTTATTTTTATACATGGCTCTTCTAGCATTCTCCTGCTGTTTGGAAACCCAAAAAGTACATTACTGTAACAGATCTATTTAGGTCTAGATAAACTTCTGTGTAGCAATTCAAATGGTCTCGACACACACTGTTGCTTAGTTTTGTAACAGTTTTTTTGATGTGTGTTTTCAGGCAGGCTACCAGATCACTCAGCAGAGGCTTCCCATAGCAGTGGATGGAACACTGGTCTATAGTCTTTTTGAAGGTCGCAGAAGAAATCAAGTGATAACCAAGAGTGTAAAAATCAAACAGATCCAGCTTGAGCAAGACAGTGGAAAGAGTCTCCATGATAATGAACAGAGCCAGACTCTAATAGATCTCAACAGAGCAGGTGCTGCTTCTTTACTCTTATACAGAAACATAATGACTGTATCTTTGTGGACAGTGTCTGATATGAAGGCTGTGTGTCTCTGTCTGTAGGTGTAGGTCTGATGGAGCTGGTGATGGAGCCTGAGATGTGTTGTGGAGAGGAGGCAGCAGCTGCCGTCAGAGAGCTTCAGCTCATCCTGCAGGCTCTGGGCACCTGCCAGGGCAACATGGCTGGTGATTTAATACACCCCCTACAGCTAACATTGATCACAACCTTTAATGTTTACACAGATTTATTCCCATGAATTGGTCTCAGGCACAAATCGCATTGCCTGCATCAATGTTATCTGAGTTAGTAATCCACCCAGTACCCATAAGGATGGGCCATATGGCTACAAATCTGTGTCGTAATCTTATATCAGAAGAACCATCATTTTGACCAAACAGCCCCTGTCACTAGATAGATTTATGTTGTAGAAAATATTTCATGCAATTAAATCTTGCTAATATTAAATTCATATTTTAACAATTTAAAGGGATAGTATGGGTAACCAAACAGTTGATGGGACCCATTGACTTCCATAGTATTCATACTATGGATGTCAATGGGGTACATCAACTGTTTGGTTACCCATATTCTTCAAAATATCTTCTTTTGTGTTTTGTGCAGAAGAAAGAAATTCATACAGGTTTGAAACAACTCGAGGGTTTCATTTTTAGGTGAACTATCCTTTTAATTCATTAATTTGCCATGCAAACATTTGTGAGTTGGCAAACGAGTTGTTGAATCAGAACTAATTCACTGAAAAGGACAATTTGAACTAATTCACAGAGATTAATTGAACCTACCGACTTGATTTGGTCCCTGAACTTTAAATTAAAGATTTGCTTTTAATAAGACCAGTAAAGATTGCAAAAGTTGTCCAATGACACAGTGTTTATAAAACATAATGGCTAAAAAAGAATGTTAAAATGATCACAATAATCATAATGCTACTGAATTTTATATCGGCAGCAAAATCATTGCAGATAAAGTGTTAATATTCAATATACCGACCAGGGGTGCGTTTCCCGAAAGCATCATTAGCCAACTATGGTCGCAAGTTCCGTCGTTACCAATAGAGTTCAATGGGATTTGCGACCAACTTGCGACCATAGTTGGCTAACGATGCTTTCGGGAAACGCACCCCAGCCCAGTACATAGTGTTCCATACGTCACCAAGATGTCTATTAAAGAGCGCATCAGGTGGAAAGCCACTAACGCTAATTTTTGTGTTCAAACATCCGATAAACACATGTGGACTCGCGTACGTCTTAAATTATGAATATTGCAGAAATGCCTGCTGAATGCCATTCTGACATCTTAAGATGTATTGTAGATGAGAAAATGTTCACAAAATGATGTTTTTTACAAATCTAAAAATCATCTTTAAAACTGAAAAAGACACACATAAATAGAATGTCTTGGCATTGTAACACATTTTTTCAGAGCTAAATGAATAGCCTATATAGCATAAAAGGATTATAGGTGGCCCACCACATCAATGACCCTCTTTTCCCAACCAATTTGTAAACACCTTTCCCCCTTTCCGACTTCACTAGTATTTGTGCTTCGGATGCACTGAGATGTTCTTGTATCTTAATATGAGTAAATCATAGTTTCAGTTACACACTTTAAAATAACTGACCTGTTCCTCAACCCTTCTTAATGTGTCACTGATCAATAAACCTGTTGTCTTCCTGTAATGAAAAATTCAATAGCTCTTGTCTAATCAAAACCCCTTGAAGCAAAATACAGCAAATTGTTTATTTGTTGCAGACTATTCAACGGTGCTCTCAGAATACAGTATTTCATGCAAATAAATCATTCAAATTCAAATGTATGCACTGTTTGTTAAGCAGGGGTTTTGAGAGCTGTGGATGGTTGAATTGTAATGACTGTTCTCATTAGATCCCTCTTTCTCTCCTCTCACAGAAGGGCAGCTTAGGGTTGATGCCAATGTGTCCGTGCATCGACCTGGAGAGCCTATGGGAGTGAGGACAGAGGTCAAAAACATCAACAGTGTCAGGCACATGGCCAAAGCCATAGGTGAGGATATGTCTAACTGATACTGAGAAAGAATTTAATGGATATCAAGATCTGCCTGTTGGTTTGGAGAAGGTTTTTCTGGTTTAAGCACAAGCATACAGTAAAATCTCTTTGCTGCTCCTCAGTACAGCAAGACGTGTCGAGGGAATGAAATAGACTTTTAGCCAGTGGGTTTCAGAAATCTTTTAATCATGCTGCATTCATATTCACAGACACACACACACGTACTTTAGTAATAGCTGGAAGTCACTTTTCTTGTGTGGTTGGTTGTCACATTTAGCCCAGCATCAGTTGGAGGGAATGAGTGTCTGTGTGTAATTATGCCAGAGCTGAAAGTCAGACTGCAAACTCCAGATAAGAAATACGAACAATAAGCATTTTCACCTCACTCCATCTCTGTCTCGTGTTAAATGCTCTGTCAAGATGTGCACCGTTGAATAAAGGCTGCAGAAGCAATCATCTCTGCTGCATTAACACACACACACAAACACACACACACACACACACACACAAACAGTACACGCACACAATCACAAAGTTGTGTTTTTGAAACGAGGAGTTTCACTCAAAAGAAATCTGACTGATTTGATCCAAGAAAATGAGTGTTGAAGACCCACATAAACATGCCTGTCAAGGACAAGAAGATTAAATAGTGCTGTCAATGAAAGCAAGAAAAAAACATTGAAAACATGAAAATATTTAATCGCTGAATCATGTGACATTATGTTTTACACTGTTCCCCCTGAGAGAAAGTTGTGCAATTTAATTAATATTTATAATGCATTTTGTTTTGATGTCTTGAAAAGGCAGCTATTGTACTTGTTTAATACTGCACATTGTCCTAAAACTAAAGGACTACCAGGGGTTTTCTACACTAGTACAATTTCCCCCAAAAGCACGTTTAAGCAGTCATGAGGAAAAATGCTGATGTGCATCCATTTCAAAAGTACTTTAGGGTCTTTTTTTTGGCAGAAGGTTGTGGTTAGAGTTTGATTGGTCCTCTCTTGGTACATGTTCCATAGACTACGAGATCCAGAGACAGATGGAGGTTCTGGAGAGCGATGGGACGGTTCTTAATGAGACCCGAGCATTTGACAGCAAATCTGGGTAAGGGGGCCCAGAACAGGCAGATTTCTACAAGAGCTGCATTCTCCTGTGATATCAACTGGAACAGGGCAAAGCAATTAGACGATCTGAGTTTTACATGGTTTGAGTCTCAGATTCTATATTGGTTTCTTTTTGAATTTTAAACCCACCACAGACACTTTAAATTATTCATGTCAGATTAAATGTTTAGCGTCTCATGGCTGATCACACACATTGAGCTTCTACTTCAGGTTTAGTCAGTGTTTCTGACAGAATTCTGTTTTTGCAAACCAACCACATACTGTAATACAATGCCAAAAAACACAATTTATAACCGAAAACTTGTTAAAAATCAACAGTGTCTTACGAACAACCAGTCATAATGCTGCTAAGTTTCAAAAGTTATTGCTTTGATTCGAGCTAGACGTCACTTAAAGTCAAGACTTGTGCTTCTGTAAGTACACTACCGTTTAAAAGTTTGGGGTCTGTATGTTTTTTTTAATCAAAATTAACGGTAAATACTTTTACATAGTTATTATATGATAAAAATGCTATTTCAAATAAATGCTGTTCTTCTGAGCATTCTATTAATCCTAGAATCCTGAATAAATGTTGGAAAAGAAAGAAAATCAAGTTTCCATAAAAATATTAAGCAGCACAACTGTGGTTATAATTAGAAATATTTCTTGAGCACCAAATCAGCACTTTTAAACAATTGTGCAAGTCAGGAACCTTAAAGGATCCGTCATACTTATTCAAACCAATAACGTTCATTTGTTTGTGAATCATGCTGCACTTGTCATGCTGTTTTTTGTGTGCAGCCAGTGAAGACAACACAATAGACAGACATGTTGTCTTGTCATTATTTTGTGATACACTGTCTTTTATCTCATGTTCAATTCAAACTGCAAACGGTTTTCTTTTGTGGCGCTGTAGATTCTGCAGCACTGGCAAATAGTGATTCTGGAAATGTTGTGTTTAGTCATGGGCAGCATACTTTTCCCTGGGTCTTTTTCCTGTCCACCTGTGACCAAAGATGAATGTGGTCATTTGACCTCAGTAGCTCTGTCATGTGTTGACTTGTACACATGGCAGCACCAGACACACACACACTAACTCATGTTCTCTACAGATGACAGAGCAGTATTATTGTGAGCATCTGCCCATGAAATAAAAGTCTCATCTCACAGCTGTGTCCTCCTGCTCTTGGATATGATCTGCTAGCACAAACCACCAATAAATAAGAGCTTAGTACACAACCTTCTGTTCTGGTATACTTTATTCTAATTGGTCAATTGTGGCAGTCTGTCGTCAAATATCTTTCTATAATGGCCGCAAAACTATAATTTACTTTTCATCTCTTCTCACATAATTTCAACAAAATTTTTAATCCATTTATGTTTTATTTGGTTTATAGTCATTCAATTTACAGGATAATGTACAATTAGCTGGATGTTATCACTAAATTAAGCACATCAGGTTGATACAAAAGCTAGGTGTGTCACACACATATTTTTGGTGTCCTGGGCAACGTAACACGTAACCAAAATAGTTTTAGAATAAAAAGAAAGGGAACCTGGGTTCAAATCCCGGCTGTCAAAAGATTGGAAACATAAAAATTTTATAAACATAAAATTTAAATTTACAGTCTCTTATGCTCAACATTTATTTAATTTACTAAATTGTTCAATTGTTTGCTATCCATTGACAATATCAGTAGAATTTGTAATTGACAAAGAAGGGAAGGTAAAGGAATTATCATAATTATTGTAAAATGCTTGTAACTACAACTTGTAAACCTGTAACTTTCTGAGAGCCTCGACTTGTACCACCTGACCACTGCAACGTCATTCATAATCACTCAAAATGGCAGCAGTTTCAGAATTAAAATGTAGTTACAGTAGTTAGCAGTTATTTAATAATAATTCCTGTAATTGACTATTGTTAATGTCTTAATGCAAGATTAATCTGAAAATAAATGAAAGACACACTTTAACGTAGCTTGCACTGTTGGATAACTAAGTCCTGCTTAATAAGCTAAATACAAATTTAAAGTTTATCAAAAAGGCATTGGCCTAATGACTGTTACTTGTTTTATTGTGGTTTTGTCTGTTGATTACTGAAATTACACATTCATTTTGGCATTAATAGTGTTGCCATTAAGTCCTGGTTGTCATCTAGTAATTACTCTAATTATGACACGCTGTGAGCGCATCACAACTCCTGCATGGTAATAATGACCAGCTGACTGAACATGTAAAGAGCTAAATTCCTGTAAGAACCTTTTATCAGAACATACTTTGCTTGTAACTTTTTATTTTATTTTAAGCTATAACTTATTTATTACCATCTCTCTTTCTCTCTCACCAGTAACACAATTCCGATGAGGGATAAGGAAGGCCTACAGGACTACAGGTGAGTGTAATGCTCCATTGAACCCTGCAGGTGAGTGAAATCTGCTCCATCCTGTGGAGTACTATAGGGAGTAAAGATAAAGAAAAACAGGAGAGGACGTTGGAAAGAGTGATGGAGTAAAGGGAAGCTGGACAGTGCAGGATAAAATGAAAACGGGTAAAAGGAAAGCAGCAGAAAATACTGAGTTTCCATAGACAACAAGGGAGTAGCAGGGGGGACAAAACAGACAAGGAAGAGGACATGAAGACTAGACAAGTTGTGATATGAAGGACTGAATATGCATCAGCTGTGCTGTGATAATGCGGCTGTAGATCCACATAAAGGAGGAGGGAGGGAAGAGTGGGTGTATGTACTAAAGAAATGGAGCAAATCATGCAGTGCCATCTACAGACTGTGAACAAAATAAACATTTATAAATCATTGAAAGCCACTTTCCATCTACACATATTTTAACTATACTGTATATATGTATATACACTCACCGGCCACTTTATTAGGTACCCCATGCTAGTAACGGGTTGGACCCCCTTTTGCCTTCAGAACTGCCTCAATTCTTCGTGGCATAGATTCAACAAGGTGCTGGAAGCATTCCTCAGGGAGTTTGGTCCATATTGACATGATGGCATCACACAGTTGCCGCAGATTTGTCGGCTGCACATCCATGATGCGAATCTCCCGTTCCACCACATCCCAAAGATGCTCTATTGGGTTGAGATCTGGTGACTGTGGAGGCCATTTTAGTACAGTGAACTCATTGTCATGTTCAAGAAACCAATTTGAAATGATTAGAGCTTTGTGACATGGTGGAAGTAGCCATCAGAGGATGGGTACATGGTGGCCATAAAGGGATGGACATGGTCAGAAACAATGCTCAGGTAGGCCGTGGCATTTAAACGATGCCCAATTGGCACTAAGGGGCCTAAAGTGTGCCAGGAAAACATCCCCCACACCATTACACCACCACCACCAGCCTGCACAGTGGTAACAAGGCATGATGGTTCCATGTTCTCATTCTGTTTACGCCAAATTCTGACTCTAACATCTGAATGTCTCAACAGAAATCGAGACTCATCAGACCAGGCAACATTTTTCCAGTCTTCAACTGTTCAATTTTGGTGAGCTCTTGCAAATTGTAGCCTCTTTTTCCTATTTGTAGTGGAGATGAGTGGTACCCGGTGGAGTCTTCTGCTGTTGTAGCCCATCCGCCTCAAGGTTGTGCGTGTTGTGGCTTCACAAATGCTTTGCTGCATACCTCGGTTGTAACGAGTGGTTATTTCAGTCACTGTTGCCCTTCTATCAGCTCGAACCAGTCTGGCCATTCTCCTCTGACCTCTGGCATCAACAAGGCATTTCCGCCCACAGAACTGCCGCTCACTGGATGTTTTTTCTTTTTCGGACCATTCTCTGTAAACCCTAGAGATGGTTGTGCGTGAAAATCCCAGTAGATTAGCAGTTTCTGAAATACTCAGACCAGCCCTTCTGGCACCAACAATCATGCCACGTTCAAAGTCACTCAAATCACCTTTCTTCCCCATACTGATGCTCGGTTTGAACTGCAGGAGATTGTCTTGACCATGTCTACATGCCTAAATGCACTGAGTTGCCACCATGTGATTGGCTGCTTAGAAATTAAGTGTTAACGAGCAGTTGGACAGGTGTACCTAATAAAGTGGCCGGTGAGTGTATATATATATACACACACAAAATTTTGGGGTCAGTACATTTTTAATTCAGCAAGGATGCATTAAATTGATCAAAAGTGACAGTAAACACATTGTTACACAAAATTCAGTTTGTAATAAATGCTGTTCATTTGAACTTTCTATTCATCAAAGAGTCCTGAAAAAAAAATGTATCACGGTTTCCACAAAAAATACTAAGCAGCACAACTGTTTTAACACTGATTATAACAACAACAACAAAAGTTTATTTTGAGCAGCAAATCGCCATATTAGAATGATTTCTTAAGGATCATGTGACACTGAAGACTGAAGTAATGGCTACTGAAAATTCTGTTGAATAAATAAAACTTTAAAATATGTTAAAATTGAAAAGTTATTTTTAAATTGTAATAATATTTCATAATATCCCTATTTTACTGTATTTTCAATTAAATAAATGCAGTCTTCTTTCAAAAACATTTTTAAAAAATCTTAGACTCGTACAGTATTTATGATTGGTTAACTATGCAGAAGGAAGTCATTTCTCAGTTTTGCCTTTTCAGCTGCATTTTTTTAGAGAAACAAATGTAAATGTGAATATCCATTCTGATTGGTCATTTTATTCATCTGAGATGTGTCCTCTGACATTCGTGCAACGATCAGAACTCAGCTACAGTACGATGCATGAAAAAATATATATGCATGTGAGTTATGGTTATTTGTAAATCGATCACAACTATTTTTAAAGGAGGCTCAGCCTCCATTGCCTCTGATGGACTGCCACTGGAGAGGATGCTCTCAGACACACCGAGGCTGGACATGTGTGGCCGGTTCAGGTTGAAGAGATATATGAGGAGGGTGTGACAGAGAGACAGAGAGGGCTGGAGATTAGGCCTTGAGATGACACACGCTGTCTGAACACTACAAACGTTGGCTTATCTTTGCACCTGATAAGAACACGCTCTTGTGTTCCCCCACATGACCTGCTTGAATCACGCCTTCTGTTGTGTTGTATGTACATATATTCTCTCTTTATCTCCCAGGTTCATGCCAGAGCCCAACTTGCCGCCACTGTTTGTTTATGAGAGTGAAGCTTCAGTGCCTGCTGGCGTTGACTCCGCCCAGGTTGTGGTGATTGACAGGCTGAGTGCCCAGTTGCCAGAGCTGCCGTCTGTGAGGAGAACGAGGCTTGTGGAGACGTACGGTGTTCTGCGAGAACACAGCTTCACGCTGGTGGTGAGAAAGTTCACATTCAAGATGTGCACGCTTGTCTGTGGTCATGAAAACTAAAAAAAAAAAAAAATAATAATAATTCTTACAGTTGCAATATTATTTCTTTAAATTGTGAATCGTATCGTCATATCTCACAATTGTGACTTTAATTCTCTCAATTGCATCATTATTTCTTTTAATTGAGAATTCCTATCTCACAATGGCAACTATTTCTTGTAAGTGCCCATTTTTTCTTAGTAATTGCAACTTTATTTTAACTGTGACTATCTTACAATTGCAACTCATAATTGTTTTTATATCTTACAATTGTGACTATTTCTCATAATTGTGACTTTATTCCTTGTAATTGCAACTATTTCTTGTAACTGTGACTCACAGTTGCAGCTTCTCATAATTGTCAGTTTACCTCAAAATGGCAAATATTTATTGTAATTCTGACTTCATCTTACAATTGCTGCTATTTCTTGGAATAGCAACTTTATTCCTCGTAATTGCATTGTTTTAACTTCAAGTATTTTTAATCACAACTTCTCATAATTGTCTTAATTCCTAACAATTGTGACTATTCCTCGTAATTGTGACTGTATTTCTTGTAACTGCGACTATCTCACAATTGTGACTTCTAATTTGTCTTTATGTCTCACAATAGTGACTTTATTTCTCATAATTGCAACTTTATTTCATAATTGTCACTTCATGTCTCACAATGTTACTTGCTTTCTTAAAATGTATCTCACAATTGCATATTTGCTTTATCTCACAGTCTTATTTTTTTACTCTGAGTTGGAAACATGCTTCCATAGTTGTGGGTTAATCTTGTCATTTGTTATACTTTTTTTCCATCACAGATATGTAATATTAATATAAAAGATAGTTAGTATATGATAACTATTATGTTTCAGAATGAGGACGGCCTTATGGACTACTTTGAGAGTGTTGTTCAGATGACCAAGGTAGAACCGAGGAAGGTGATTGGCTGGGTGATGAATGAGCTGATGGGAAATCTGAATCTTCAGAGTCTGAAAGTCTCTCAGAGGTGAGCCAGCACTGAGAACAATCATTCAATAGATCCAATACATTGTAAAATAAATTAGAATAAATAATTCCAAGCAATAGGGAGAGAGGAAGTGTGCGTGTGTGCCGTAGGCTTTTTTCCAGTCTGTTTGTTATTCCTTCTCTCCAATATTGTTTCCTGTCAGTAAATAATAAATAATGGTGGTTGTGTTCACTCCATGCCTAGGGATATATATATATATATACACAGGATTGTTTTTCTGGGACTCCTCCAGCTCAGTGATCAGAAACTGCCTCAATGATCATCTCTTGTTTTCTTGAGTTCACTAATATGTGAGTGGGGCCAAATTGTGAGAAAGAAGCCATGTTTAACCCATCCAGTAATGAGTTCTCCTTGGTCATAATGTTGCTAAGTCTTGCTCACCGAATTATGTATTGTGAGTGTGAAATCTGTTCTTTCTAACTAATCTCTCCCTTTCTTTCTTAGTCCCATCTCTCCATGTGCTCTTGCTGAGCTGATCAATCTTGTGGAATCTGGTCACATCTCATCCTCGACTGCCAAACAAGTAAGAGAGAAAAACAATCCTCAACTTGGCTAATTGACAGACGTACAAGCCATATTCTGTGAGGTTCTCCTTAAGCCACAGGCCTGTTTTGTGTTTGTATGTGGTGAGCACAGGTTTTCCAGGAGATGTGGAAGGCTACAGAGAAGACTGTGGGCCAGATAGTGAAGGAGCAGGATTTGTGGATGATAAATGACAAAGAAGAGCTACGAAAGATCTGTCAGAGGATCGTGGACCGTCACACTGAGGAGGTAAATCCAGACATTATTCCACCTTAAAAACTATTTTCAGCTAGTAGAAATTTATTTATTTGTTTGTTTATAAGATTAACTGCTAGCCAACGATAATCTGTACACTATTTTTCTCGAATGAATTTTGTTTTTGCAGCTTCTGGTTATCAGAAAACCTTTATTTTGTACACACATGTGATATTATTGTGAAATATAAAACAATTTGTTTTTTAAAGATAAACTATTTGCCAAAACCTAATATCTTGCACACTAATTTTTGCAAATGAATTTTGTTGCAGGTTCAGATTATCAGAGGGGGTAATAAGAAAGTACTGAACAAATTAATGGGTGAGGTTCAGAGAGAAACTAAAGGCAGAACTGACCCGGTCCAAGTCAGAGCCATTCTAGAGGAAATGATCTCATGAACTGCCCAGCATGCCTATTTTGTGGGTTAATGGTGTCTTCTGGTAAAGCAGCTTAATGGAGCAATGGAATTTACATTTAATAGCCTCTATACAAACGTTCCAGAAAGGTGTCTCCACTGTAAAATATATTCATCAAACATTTTGATAAACAAAAGTGTTTCATGCAACATTACTTTGTGTTGTTTTACTTCTAAGGATTTCAGTATTTAATTAAGATTAACACAGCTCAATTCTGTGCTCTGAGACATTTATCACTCAATGATCCACGATTCCTTAATCTTGTGAGAAAATCTTGTGTGTGCACAGAATCTTTCGGTGCTGCTTTAAGTTGTTTGTGGCTCTGTATGGATTTTCAATCAGAATTTGGTTTTGTGGGATTATTCGTCACTTGTAGAATTTAGCAGGTCAGGCCAAGGTTGCCTGAAACTTCTGGTGTGTAATCACCATTAGCCATTGCTAGCACAGACGATGTCTGCTGGCATGAGTGATTGAAATAAAAGGAATGTTTTTGTGTACTACTAAGACTTTTTGCTTTTTGTCAGACCCAACGTATTTAAGACAGCAAAAAAAAAAAAAAATTCATTTGAGTTTTATATGTATATGATAACTTGATGGTTGTCTGTATACTCGTGCCATATGATTAACTAGCGCCCTCTGGTGGAGTATGAATTTCATATACCATTATGTCGAGACCTGTGAGTCATTACTCAGTGCCATGGTCAACATACTTTAAATTTTGAATTCAACTGAATTTGAAATGTCTGTGAAATTTGTTCCGTTTATGTTACCTTTTATTTTAATACAAATGTCTACACATGTTAAGAAATGTGCTAAAAAGCAGTATGACTCTTAAGAGACAAGATATTTTGATTAAAGTAGTCTTATCCATAAAATAAAAGTTAATCGTGATAGATGGATATATAGATACATATCACAATTAGCCCTTTAGAAAAAGGTTTGATGATAGAGACTTTTGCTGCTGCCATTAGTGAAAATGAGTTGAGGAAGCACCCAGTTTTAAACAAAAAACTGCCCCTTCGGCTGAAAGGACTATCTGGGGAACAGGAGTTAAATTGTGTCAACAGTGCATGTGCATACATGAGTATCCATGAGTTAACATTACCAAACATACAGACGCAACTTCACCCAGAGCTGTACATGTAGTAGGCTAATGTTAACAATAAATTACAATACAAACATTTGATGCCACTACCAGGCCTTGAGATCATATTTACAATAGCATTATTTGGGAGTAGGCACTTCATGGACAATTCTATAATGTTTTATTTAGGTATATAAAAAAACCCTATCTGTTTATTTATATACAGTATATATACAAAAATTACACAATGAGCAACCTAACAAAGAGAATTTGTGTGCTGTGATTATTATATGTATGGAATTTGGAGCTGTAAAAGCAAGTATATTAAACAAGCAGCAGAAAAGGGATCGTTATATCAGTTAAAGCACAGAAGATTGACAATGTTATTGCCCACTAACTCATATGACACTTCTGTTAGTGGACAAGAGATGTCTTTATTCAAGTCATCATGCCTTACATTTCTGACATAGAAACTATTGCCTGCCATTTGAAGGTGAAAATATGAGCTGGGCAACCAAGGCATACAGAACTGTACAATTTAAGTAATGCTTACCACCAGTAAAGGCAATTTAATCAAGAATTTCTAATCTATCCCTTGCTCACACCCCCATACCAAAAAAGTCACCTTCATTACATAAAACTGCATATAAATATCTTTGGATTGACAAGCTACATTGTGGCCTCCGGATGTTTGGTAATCAGGTTTTGATTGACATAATTTGTACAAGGGGGAAAGCAAAACATCTACCTTCAAAAAATGACCACTGAATATGTTGAAGATATTTAATCAAATATGTCAAAAATATACATAAAAATTTTAAATCTTCTCGTAAAACTATTTAAAGCATAACCACCAATGTTCATGATCACCTGCTTATGGTGTGTTTACAAATTCCATGTAACTATCAGTTTGCACTAAAAACAAATGTGCTCAGGAATCAGGTGAACTTCCAGAGTTTCAATATACATACATATAACAAGACACCTGGAGATAGTAAAAATACTTTCAAATCAAGACAACTTTTATAGTAAAGGTCACTTTCTCTTTTGCATATGGGGTGTTTAGATACACTGGAATTGTATATCATTTGCTTTCTTTTATGCATTTAAAATATGTGATGTACAGTATGCATAGTCTCTCTGATTGTGTTTCAGCTAAATTAATGCCATTTATGACCATTCTCAGAGGCCATGCAAATTCAAGAGAAGAAAAACAGTTAAAAAAAAAAAAGAAAATGTCTTAAATCATTTTTGTGAAGATTCTATGTAACTGTACAATGGTTTTAATACACTATCGTTCAAAAGTTTGGTGTTGGTACGTTTTTTTTATTTTGAAAAATGCTCAACAATGCTGAATTTATTTTATCAAAACTAAAGAAAAAAATCAGTAGCATTGTGAAATATTATTACAATAGATTTTTTTTTATTATTTAATTGTTTATATTAATTACATTTGTAAAATGCAAGTTATTCCTGTGAAGGCAAAGCTGAATTTTCAGCATTATTGCTCCAGTCTTCAGTGTCACATGATCCTTCAGAAATCATTCTAATATGCTGATTTACTGCTCAAGTAACATTTATTATTATTATTATCAATGTTGAAAACAGTTGCTCTGCTTAATATTTTTTTGTGGAAACCATGATGTATTTAAGGATTATTTGATGAATTGAAAGTTCAAAAGAACAGCATTTATTTGAAATGTATATACTTAATCAAAATTGACAGTAAATACTTTTATTTTATTTTTATTTAATGCATCCTTGCTGAATAAAAGTATATATTTTAGGGCTGTCAAACGATTAATCGCAATTAATCGCATCCCAAATAAAAGTTTGTGTTTACATAATATATGTCTGTGTACTGTGTATAATTATTTTTAATACATAAATACCCACACATGCATGTGTATTTAAGAAATATTTGCATGTATATACTGTATATAGACAATGTAGCCTAGATATAATGTATATTTTATATAAATATAAACATTTTATATATAAATAACATTTTTCTTAAATATATACATGTGTGCATTTATATACAAAATAATTATACACAGTAGTACACACACATATATTATGTAAACACAAACTTTTATTTTGGATGCGATTAATCGTGATTAATCGTTTGACAGCCCTACTATATTTATTTCTAAACCAAAAAAAAATCTTACGACCACAAACTTTTGAACGGTAGTGAATGTCATCTCACTAAAAAAAGACACCTCTTCCTGATTTACAAGTAGGCGTGTTGCTACTTTCAAACATGTTTGTTAACAACTTAGTACCTTTCACATTGTACTAAGTTTATATCAGTGATGCTCTACAAGGAACCAGAACAAATGTGTTTCTCAAAATCCCTTAATTCTACGGGTCAAGTCAAGTCACCTTCCTTTATATAGCACTGTTAACAATATAGATTGTTTCAAAGCAGCTTTACAGTGATAATAGAAAATTAAAGTAACAGAGATTGTTTTGGCTTTAGCAACTCTAGAATAAAGTTATTGTCCAGCTAAAGTTAGTTTTGATTGATTCACTTCCGTTGCAAAGATCATTAGTTATTAACTTAGGGGCCGCTTACACGACACCGTTCTAACAGAAAACCCTTAACGCGCTCCGGCCCGCTCATTCGCACAACAACAGTGCCTGGGGGCTCGAGAACGCAAACCTTGAAATAGGTTCCAAGGTGCAAGCCTTGAAACATTGAAGAAAAAAAAAGTTGTCTCTAATAACTCAAACGCGTGCACATGCATATTACGTGTTTAATCTATAGGTATGCGCGTTTGAATATATATGTGCGCAGGCGTGTAGTCTTTCTTAACAAATTGACCTCAATAAATTACTTGTCTGGCCAGAATTTTGTATCGCATCCACGTAGCCATGAGAACCGGAATTATTTTGACAAGTTTTATCTGTGAAGGGAAAGGACGGGAAGGAGGTCTTCACAGGGGAGAGACTAGTTGACACTTCAAGACTGCGTTGTCGTCGTGTCCAGGCGCAGGTCCTTCGTCAGATCTAGATACGGCCTGGATCCGGCGGACTGCGGTAAACCTCGGGATAAACAGAGAGACTAACCGGTAGCAGTCGATTTTGATATTCTACTGTAGGTATTATCAACTGGCCAGAATTTTGAGATTGCAATAGACTATAAAGGACTATAATGCGTTAAGAGCTCGCTCAAGTACTGGGGAGCTAAACCATTTAGTGCTTTGTAAGTAATCAGCAATATTTTTAGATTTATACGATGTTTAATTGGGAGCAAATGCAGAGCAGAGAAATGCAGTACAAATACTTCCTGGGTCTAGTAAGAACTCGAGCTGCTGCGTTTTGGACTAGCTGTAGTTTATTTATTAAGCATGCAGGGCAACCACCCATAAGAGCATTACAATAATCTAGCCTTGATGTAATAAACGCATGAACTAATTGTTCCGCATGTGTCATTGAGAGCATATGACGTAATTTAGATATATTTTTAAAGATGGAAGAATGCAGTTTTACAGAAACTAGAAACGCGACTTTCAAATGAAAGATTGGTATCAGGTCACTTGGTCAGTTGTATAAAACGTTGACCAGTGTCCAGGTTTACAAAGTATGTTTACTGTATAGAAAACTACAGACATGTGTAAAATTAAGTACTAAAGGAATAGGCACTTTTAGTATAAGGCCATCAGGAGAACAATCCAGCAAGAGACATCAGCATCACTGAACAGTCTGCAAAGAATTCAGTCGTCAAGTGTTATTAATGTCTAATTCCCCGTCACCTCTTAATGCTCATGGCTGTATGACCGTCACTCTTTGGTTTTGGCCTGAAGTTTCAGTTAGGCAGGCTTTGTCCAGCATTTGTCCAGTCTGTAAGTCACTTAATGAAGTGAAGGCACATCAATTCATTGCCTTATGGCAGGAGACACTGGTTTTATGAGTGATGATTTGTGCTGTAACTGTATTTGCTGGGAAATGAGGCTTGGTATTGCATAAATAAATGATGGAAGTACAAAAGACTGTTTCACACAGCAGACAAAAACATGCTGAACGTATCCCCCCATCAAAAATATATATTAAAAAATTGTCCAAAAAAATGCCACATTAATTTAGAGGTTTAGTGCTTTCAACTAAAATTCCTTAAAAATGTCAAAAGTTTCCTGGAAACATTAACAACAAGCAAACACAGAATCAAAGGCTACTGGTCTGTGGGAAAATGAGAAAGAATGGAGTGTTCTTGTGCAATGGCTGCCAGTTCTTTTAGGAACTCTGTGAAAAGAACTGTGGCATATACCTCAGTTTTGTTTAGGGGAACCACAGTTTTAGGTTGGATTTGGTTCTTCTTGATTCTGTCTGCTTCAGAACCATGGAGCCAATCTCCAGTCTGTGGACTCTGAGAGTCTAGATTGAAATGAAAGAAAAACCTAGTCATTGTGCAATATTTAAGCATTTTCATAACGTCTATCATTCAAACCAATAAAAGGATGAGTAACTGAACAAGTCAAATAAATAAGATGAAGCAGTTTATATTGTCATACAAAAGACAGCAGCTATGTACCCCTGAAACTGAGAAAAATGACTTCAATATCAAATAAATTAGATTCAGAGTAAAACAAAATGAGTAAATCAGAAAACAGTTTCTTCTATATCTTTATTATATTATATTATATTATATTATATTATATTATATTATATTATATTATATTATATTATATTATATTATATTATATTATATTATATTATATTGGGTAATTTGCCATGATTGAACCGGCTATTTTCAGCAATATGCAAGTAAAACAATAAATGTACAACAATTATGAAACACAAAACAATTGGACTTTCAATTTAAAACCTTAGCTAGCTACTAACCTTAGCAACTTTCCTCAGACTATACAGTTTTTTTGTTTTATCTCGATTATTTTCATAATTACAGACCCTGTGGACAAACTACAGTACACCTGTTGTGTGCAACCGTCTTCTTCAGAAAACATTCTGCTTACACAGGAGCAGACGCTCACTGTGGGTCATGTTTATGAAACACGTACATATTGTTCATTCTTAAAACAGTTTTATGTTTATTAAGCTTTGATACATAGTGTCTTAAATATAAAACAACATGACTGAAAGGATATGAACATACTCTGACCTCTTAGTGAACTCTCTCTGGCTAATAAGCAGTGCTGAGCAACTGTGAGGAGCTCAGGGAAGTCTTTATTATTCGCGGACCACTGCTCTATCTGGTTCTTCACTGAGGCCAGTACCTACAAAATTAAAAATGGAAAGGCAAGAAGGGAGAGAGAAATGAATGAATAAACATATTCCACATTCCTACTGATACCATGTATTAATGACCAAGCTTCACTCAGATTTTGAGGGCTATATGCCCATTTTGGAGAGACTTTTCCACTCTTATACTGACAAAGGGGAAATTCTAAATAATACCATAAGTATTGAGTACAAAACCTTGCATTGACACTGTCATTCTGAGATGTCCCACTGAGTACTGTGCATCTGTATAATATTAGAGTTATAGAGACAAATGCAACTTTAACGACTGAGACAAATCAGACACAATTATTTGTTATATGTAACAAATAATCTTTAAAACTCACTCTGGGATCTATGGTCCCATCCCCCCAACAAGGGCAAGAAGGGTCTTAAGTTAGATAAGTTGGATTTATTGCTGTAAAAAATGTGGTCATGTGGTCAAGGCAGAGGCCATAGAAAAGACAGAAACAGACCTTAAAAACAGACTTTTCTGCATTAATCATAGACGAACTGATCTATAAATGAACATGCATCCCAGAACATTGTGTGAATGATTTACTGTCTTGTGTAGTGTCTTTTAATTCTATTATTTTTATTTTTGATACTGTGTATTTTATGATAGAACCAACGGTCAATGTAACCTCACCTATACAATGTTTGGTCTCAATAAATTGGTACTTTGAAGATCGAAATGATTGTGTACATGATATGTCAATAGCTGCGCAACATATTAGTATATTGAATATTTCAGAGTTTCTTCATCAGCAACCAATCCAGCTGCACATGCAAATGAACACGCTTAAAACAAAGACCCATAAATCAACAACAGAGGAATTTCCAGCTTGGAAATTCCACCCTACTCATTGGTCAAGCAAACCCGGAGAGGTGGGACCTTTCTCAGGCTTTAAATGGTCTCTACACAAGCCCTTCCCTCTCTTGGCCTTCTCTTGTCCGTTCGGGTTGCTGTCCTGCGGGCCGCCCCAGGGCAGCAGGCCTTGACTCACAACCAGCCGTGTGCTCATTCAGGAGAGAGAGGACTCTCTCAACCACAACAGTATCAAGGACAACCTCAGGAGTTTGGCACAACGTCTTCATTCAATGCAGAAGAAGTCCATCGCAACTCCCACCATCAACTCTTCCGACTTCCTCCCTTCTCCTGTTTGTTCTGCGTGTCCTCTGATCCAGTATCAGTACTGGTACTACTCGACCTCAGTGCTGCATTTGACACTGTCGATCACGACATACTTCTTGACAGGGTGGAAAACTGGGTGGGGCTTTCTGGGATAGTCCTAAAATGGTTCAGGTCATATATAGAAGGGAGAGGTTATTATGTGAGTATAGGAGACCATAAGTCTGAGTGGACATCCATGACATGCGAAGTCCCTCAAGGCTCAATTCTTGCGCCACTCCTATTCAACCTGTATATGCTCCCAATGAGCCAAATAATGAGAAAGAACCAAATTGCTTACCACAGCTATGCAGACGACACACAGCTCTACTTAGCCCTAACGACTACAGCCCCATTGACTCCCTGTGCCAATACATTGATGAAGTAAACTGTTTAACTGAAGAAAGTTTTGGCACATCCAACTAAGACAAAACTGAAGTCATTGCGTTTGGAAACAAAGATGAAGTTCTCAAGGTGAATCCATACCTTGACGCTAGGGGTCTAACAACTAAAAATCAAGTCAGGAATCTTGGTGTGTCTCTAGAGTCAGACCTTAGTTTCAGTAGTCATGTCAAAGCAATAACTAAATCAGCATACTATCATCTGAAAAATATTGCAAGAATTAGATGCTTTGTTTCCAATCAAGACTTAGAGAAACTTGTGCATGCTTTTATCACCAGCAGGGTGGATTATTGTAATGGACTCCTCACTGGCCTTCCTAAAAAGACCATAAGACAGTTGCAGCTCATACAGAACGCTGCTGCCAGGATTCTGAGCAGGACCAGAAAATATGAACATATCACACCAGTCCTCAGGTCTTTACACTGGCTCCCAGTTACATTTAGGATTGATTTTAAAGTATTATTACTGGTATATAAATCATTCAATGGGCTAGGACCTCAATATATTGCAGATATGCTCACTGAATATAAACCTAACAGATCACTCAGATCATTAGGATCACATCAGTTAGAAATACCAAGGATTCACTCTAAGCATGGAGTCTGCTTTTAGCTATTATGCCAGCCGCAGCTGGAACCAACTTCCAGAGGAGATCAGATGTGCTCCTACAGTAGTCACATTCTAATCCAGACTCAAAACACATCTGTGTAGCTATGCATTTACTGAATGAGCACTGTGCCACTGTTCGTCTGACTGTTTTTACTGTACTGTACTTTATTTTATTTTTTATTCTAAACTGTTTTAATTATTCTTATTTGTTTTGATTATTTTAATTTCTTCTATGTAAAGCACTTTGAATTACCATTGTGTATGAAATGTGCTATATAAATAAACTTGCCTTGCCTTGCCTTGCTTCTCTGCTTGCAACAAAGTTTATTTTACGATTTTGACTACAGGCTCTTAGTAGTACTGTACAGTAAGAAAGACCTTTCCCTCCCCCGGAAATGAACATTAGAATTAATTAACAATTAATACTGAGTGTTCGCTGGACGAACAGGTGGATTGATTGTAATATTATTTAATAGATTAAGTTAATTCCATTAACCGATCCAAATATTCATAATCAATTATAACAAGTTATGATTTATTATTAATATTTCTTTAGAGCTAATTTGCTACACAACATTCACACAATGTGGTCCAAATACATTTTTTTATCCTCCACATCCGAGGCAATGTTCACAAGCTCTTAAATGTGCCCCACATTAGACATTGGTCTGAACAGGTGACATTTCTAAACTGACCTGCATACATAAAACACTCAAAACATCTGGAATGTTAATCTGAGAGAAATGTATTGAGCTTGATTGTATTGAACCTGATGTTTAGTCACATTCTTGAGACTCATTATTTTCTACATTAAGCATGCAATTACAGTGACTATTGAGTTAGTATGACTTAAAAAGTGAAAGTGGGCCAAATCCTAATTGAAAATATATTAATAAAAAAAAAATATATTTGGGCAAAAAATATTGCCTTACTGTCCATGGCAAAACATAGAAGAACAGAGATATGTATGCAAGTAGATCAGATACTGTATGATACTGTATGTACTTCAGTACCTGGTATAGTGAGCGGACGCTGGGCTGGAACACCATGTTTGTGTTGAGAAGGAAGGAGCGCAGCAGGGGCTGAGGATAAGAAGCTAACTGAGCCAGGATGCCGGTCAGAAGCAAGTTCACATGGAGCGCGTTACTCGGCATGTTTTCTAGACGAGACAGCAGTACACTCACAAACGGCCCTAAAAGAGACAAGAAGAGTAGAACTCAAATAAATGGAACACAAACCCAAATATCATACAAAATATTAAACTGAAGCTAACACTAAATAATTCCAAAACTCTGCATAGTAGTTTATGGGGGCCAGAACTAAAGTCACACTTCATGAGATATTGGGCCTAATAATGCAATGCACTCGGCTTGACTTTAGATTAGAATCAGCAACATCAGTTGCAATCTTTCTTGACTCGTGCTTTGATTTAATTGCCATGCAAATGTAAAATGATTGCACAAATGGTGTATAGATGCTAATTGTTGAGTTGAACAGGCCATGTGACATCAGAAGCATAGTACTGGTGAAATTATAGCATACTGCATACTGTTTTACATGACCAGGCAATATACATTAATGCAGTGTTTCCCAACCCTGTTCTGGAGGCACACCAACAGTGCACATTTTGGATGTCTGCTTTATCTGACCCATATACAGTATTCTGGTCTCTACTAACGAGCTGATGAGTTGAATCAATTGTGTTTGATTAGGAGGAGTTGGAAAATGTGTAGTGTTGGTGTGCCTCCAGGAACAGGGTTGGGAAACACTGTATTAATGTACAGTGCAGTATGCTAGTATTCCATGTCTAATACAACATTTGATTAGCTGTTTCAGGTGTGTTTGATTTGGGTATAGAACAAAAATTTGACTCCCCATAAGCTTCTCATTATGAGTCCATATCAAAATATGTTTTCCGACCTGTAAAAGGCACAGAATGACCCTTGCTCCCACTGCGAGGTTTGGTCCCAAAAGGAGACAGCAATGTTTCTGCCTCTGGTGTCTCAGGTGAGAAAGAGTTAAAGTCTATCTCATCTTCCTCATCATTCATGAGGTTTGTAGGACTCTTGAGTTCACTGTCTGCTTTTGCTGGACTACTAGGCTGTGCACCCAGAGTTCTAATCAGTTCCTCATACTGGGCCATGAGGTCCTCCCCTTCTGGACCCATTGACTTGTGGTTTGATTGTGACCCTCTCTTTTGACTGTCCATTTCATCTACTGAGGAGCTCAAGCCATTGCTCATTGAAGATTCTGAATTTGTAGTATTTTGATCAGTTACTGGTCCATCTAACACCTCCTGCTCTGCTGGTTCAGTAGGGCTGGATGAGACATGATAGTTGCTACCAGAGTCATTGGCATCCTTCTGAGCTACCAGGTCATAGACCATAACATCATTCTGAAACTCAGACTCTTCAATGTAAGAGCCCTTCACAATCATAATAGCAGTTCTCCTTAGTTCTTGAATGTGCTTTGGGGGTTCCTCAGGGATGGGACGAGTCTCCTGATCTTCCTCTGGATCCAATTGTGTTGGACAAGCATCATAGCTATCATCCCACTCCAGCTCCAGCATTCTGGGAGTAGCAGTGAGATCTTTGAGGGGTGGACCAGAGCGATGCATCTGATTTGGGGTTTTCCTGCTGGCAATTGGTTGCCGAGTCCTACCTGCTTCTTCCAAGGTACTACGCTGGTATTCCTCTGGAGGAGGGTTCTCACCATCGTATGGGGCGGACCACACACGGCATGCTCGCATACAGTGACTGATGCCGCTTTGTGCATCGTACAAGTAGTGCAGGTAACTGACATCCAGGTAAATCTCTGAGCCAATGACACAGGAGTTACCACAGTCGTCCTCCTCTGATCGGACCTCCTTTGATTCTAAAGGAAGATATACAAGCAATTTTAAAACTGTTTTTTCACACGTCTCATTACATTTCATGACCTCTTTTTCACAAATACTGATCCTAACAAAAGTAGTTCTCAGGAATTTGTATCAGCTTGTAAACACTTTAATAACAGGCACAGACATTAAGCGGATTACATAGTCTGTAATGAAGAAATTAACTTGATGCAGTGAAGTATGTTGCAGATTTAATCCATAAGACGGAAGTCACTAAGACGTGAATGGCATTTCAGTCTACAAACAGGCCACAGAACAACTGGAGTCCAGTCATCTGAACCAATTTTGGTCAAGTTTGACCAAGTTTGATCTTTGTCAACAAATCTTCAGCGCAAAATTTATTGGAGACCAACACAAAAAGATGCATGAAATCTTGTTGTCTCACTTTTGACATTGAAACCTGGAAATACTTTGATAAAACAACTTTAACAATTACCACTTCTAAGGCTAGCCAATAATCTAGGACAGGAATGTCCACTTCTTACTCCTGGAGAACTAATGCCATGGTCAGTTCAGCTTCAACTTCAACTTGCCCCAACACACATGCCTGCAACTTTCTAGTCAGCCTAAAGCCCTTAAATTAGCTGGTTCAGGTGTATTTAATTGGGGTTGAAGCTAAATCACAGGACAGTGGCCCTCCAGGAGCAAGATTGGACACTAATGATCTAGATCCTTAAAAGATTTTTAAAAGTCTTATTACAATTACACATTATACACACTGCAACCGCAAATTACATAATATGGCAAACAGTTCCACAAGAAGTAATGAAACTACATCATACCTATTGTTCCTGTATGGAAGCCATCAGTGACTTTTGACCACAAGATGGAGTCCAGTTTTCTAAGTGGCGGGGGGATGATATCTGGAGAGCAGCAAGAGGGTGTAAGGGCTAGAAACTTGGCAGCCGATACAGAATAACAGTCTCTCTCTCTCAGGACTCTACGCTGACTCAACATCATATGGTTACAGGGGATCAGGTACCTGTCGGGGGAGGAGAGAGACAACTTATAGTGCCCCAAGATATGCACACCCAAAAGGGAAAGTGATTAACATGTCACAATGAACAACTGATACTGTGAGACTGTGGTTTACAGAACAGAGAGTATGGTTAAGTTCACACTGCAGCCTTTGAGAATAATTAAAATACATGTGATGAAAATCTTGTCAGCAATAGAACAAATGTGTAAATAAACATGAAGAGGCAGCAGAAGTATACTCACTTGAAAATCAACTGGAGCATGACATCCTCACAATATAAGCCAATGAGAGTGCGGAACAGAGCCAGAGATACAGTGCCAAGCTGTAACATAAGCACAGCCTATAAAACACAATACTACAAACAAAAACAGCTTAATGAAGACACTGAATGTTTAAAAACAATAAATCTAGTTGATGTAAAACATTATTCCATATTAATCTTGGATAAAACAAAGTTGACTTTATCGTGGATAACAGGATGCTTAAGGCTCAGTGCTGTAGGGCGTTTTGTTTGAATACACATGCTGTGAAAACTAATATTTGACTTCAAATATTAGTCTCATGTATTAGAGAGAGTCTGCAATTGGAGAACCTTTACCTTCTTTCCATCCCTAATATACCAACCACTTCTTACAGGGATAGTTCACCCAAAAATCATCAATAAGTCACCCCCATGTCATTCCAAACTCATTACATTAGACTTTATATGGCACCAGTGAAAGCATCAATGAGCATGAGAACCAATGAGGTTTGTTCTTGTGCGTCACACAAGCATGTTTGAGCTTCTGCAATAACTGATGAGATGTGTTCTCGCAAGACATGCAAGTACGGTACCTGCCATTTACCTATTTGATGTGCTCTATGTACTGTATGTGCATTGATCAATTCTTATAAGTGTATAAAAGCATAACTTAAACCCAAGGGCGTAGATTTGGTTTGAACATTGGGGGGGTTGAAGTTTGGGTATGCCTCCTGATATTGTGATCATGGTATAAATAATGGGGGGGTTGTAATGCATAGATTTAAATATTGGGGGGGTTATATCCCCCCCATCCCCCCCACAAATTACGCCCCTGCTTAAACCTGTTTATTATATAAATTGATTGTCTCTTCAGTAGACTTTTAGTAGATTAAACAGCTTAATTCATATAGATCACTTTTATTATGTCTCATGAAGCCTTTGAAACTTGAAAGTTTGGTGGAATTAACTTTTAATGGTGGGACAGAAATCTCTCAGGTTTTATTAAAAATATCTTCATTTCAGTTTCAAAGATGAACAAAAGTCTTTCGGGTTTAGAATAACATGAGGGTGTGTAATTGACAGAATATTTATTTTGGGGTGAACTAACCCTTAAATACTTCCGTAGCCTTACTTCACCCTTTATTTGAAGTATAGTAATACAGTAGTGTTACTAACAGTTGTTCAGTTGCCCATTCTCAAGTACGTACTGTTTTTTTAGATCGTTTAATGTAAATGGCTGACATTCAGAATAAAATTGTGATTACCTGAAAGGGAGTATTGATGCGGCTGACTAGTGTGTCCAAAATATGTACACTGTCATGGCGATGGAGCAGGATGAAGCTGAGGAAGGTGTGCAGTAATGCAGGTTCAGAAACACTGCGTATAAACAGGTCCAGGTATGCTGTTGTGGTCATCACCTCTTCAAGTGTCAGCTACAGAAGATAAGGTTGCTTGAAATTAAATCTTTTTTTATATCAGCTGTCGGATCTAGAAAAAAACATGTCTCATGGCTCACTAACCTTGTGTAATGCCGGTGCTAGAACAGGCACCAGAAAACCATTATGGATGTAGCCAACCAGCTGGTTTCTGATGGAAGGATGAGCCACCTGCACACAAAGCAAAGCTAAACTGTGACACATTCACACTATATAAACGTATTTTCACTTCCTTTTATCAACTTGGCACATAAAATAAGGGACCAACAATAATGTTTATTTAAAAGCTCAACCTTTGTCTCCTGACATAAACTTGCTACATTTTTAAACATTCTTCCTGAAGTCTTGTGTCTGATTGTAAAATGATTAATCATTTTTGCTCTGGACCAGGGGTGTCCAGTACTCTTTCTGTAGGGCTATCTTCAATCAAAGTTTAGCTCTAGCCTAATTAAACACACCAGCTGAATAAGGACTTCAGGATCACTAGAATCTTCCAGGAAGGTGTGCTGGAGCTAAACTCTGCTGCAGGAAATGGACCAGGAGCAAGACTGGACACCTCTGCTATGGACAAAAACTCAGTAGTGCAGTAGAAATGAAGTAGCAATAGCACAAACCTGTATGACAGCGTTGCAGAACTCCAGGGAGTTAAGAAACTGCACAAGAGCGGGCAGCTGCTGCCAGTCTTCACGGTGCAAACAGTGCCACTCCTCACTTGGTACATCTAACTTGGTAGGCAAAGATGAGTAAAGCCCACTCAGACCTGTAGCCAAAACCTTTAATCAAAACAAATGACATGTGTTACTCCATTTCATTCCTCTGCAAACATTAAAATCTTCACCTGGGAACAACCTGACAGTATTTTCTTCAGCTGGCTTTGAAATCAATGAGAAAACATAACTGAATGAGTTATGGATGAGCACTGCTGTGGATGCCAGGTTTATAATGTATGAATATTGAGTAAATGTAATAGCCAAATAACTCAAAATGCAACGTGTGCACATTTGAAGAAAGACAATCATTATGTACTAGCACAACAATCTTTAGTTGCATGCATCTTGTCTTTATTCACTGGCAGATGCATGTGAGGTCACATAGGGCTGAGAGTGCATGTGAGGCTGAGAGTGCATGTCTGCTGCCAGACTCTATTGAAGTTGAGGGTGATGTCATCTTAGTAAGAAGGGTACTCATCTATGGTGTAACGGATTATGCAATTATCTCTAATTACTTTACATAAGCACATACAGTACTGTGCTGCAGGAGGCCCACGGTGGCAGATATTCGAAAGAAATTCAGAAACAAATCCAGGCATTCACTAAAGCAGTTTGACTGTCCTGTTGGCTTTATTTACTGCATTTCATTGTGATTTCATAAACAGCCTATGAGCATAAATAACAGTTTGGAGTCATTTTATCTGGCTATGTTATAATGAGCATATTTCTTTAGGGTTTGCTAGTTCATATAATGGTGATTATGATGTGTTTTGTATTTTGTTCGGTCACATTTAACAAAATTTATTTATGGATTTAAAAATTTCAGACAATACCAATAAGCGTTAATTATTTTTAAAGTTTTATCGGTGATAAAAAAAACTATCGGTCTAAAAGGTTAAAAATAAAACAACAGAAAAAGTAGTTTTAAAAGTTACAAATTTAGGCATCTCAACATGCATATTCATTTTGAAATGTACTAAAGATTACATTTAACATTGTTATTAAATATTTAGCTTTTTTTTAGATAAAGATTAAGATTTTAGATTTTTTTATGTGAGCAGAACATGTGATTAGAGCATAATCATAATTATGATGAGGATAAATAGTCTATTTTAGGGCTCTGAAGATTTTGATGATGAATTGTCTGTTTTAAGGCTGTCATACTTTTTTGTGCTCTTCGTTTATTAAATAATTGTCACAAATTATTTTAATTAATTTAATCCTTTGTAAGTTATTCAATTCTGTAAATTACTGAAACATATCACAACAAACTAGCTCCAGAAAAGGACATTATTAGTGGTCAAATCGACAGCAAGTCGCGATTAATAGCATCTAACATAAAACTTTTTATTTATATAATATGTGTGGGTATATGTATATTCTTATATTTATGTGTGTGTGTATAAATATACACACACATACATGCATATATATATATATATATATAAAAATGCATAAATAAATGGACACACACATACATATATTATATATAAAATATAAACACATATTATATAAACAAAAACTTTTATGTTAGATGTGATTACTCGTGATTAATCATTTTGACAGCACTAATTATAATATAAATGTAATAACTTTGCTTTTCATTTATTACTTAAAGCCCACTTTAAGTTCTTCGATACCACAGCAAAAACTACTTGCCTAGCCTTAAATAAATAACTAAACATTTAAAATAAAATCTAACAGTAGCATTCAGGTACAGAAATGGTACAAAGCTGTGTAACATTAATGACAAAGTGACAGCAGCCTATGAATACCTGCAGCTGTCTAAGACCGACTGCACGGATCAAATATAATGAAACACATCCTATTTCTTTCTCAACGGTTTACGTTCACTTAAGACATAACCGACTGTTTACGAGAATACTCGCCGAGATGGGGTTTTTTACCATAATTGTGTGTGTATGTGTCTATTCAAGCGATATGAGATGCAAAAGAGGAATCAATTCCGTGTTGGCACACTTTCTAAAACGTGCCTGTCTCTGTGTGTGCGGCTCTCACGGATCAACTGTGATCCGTTGTATCCCTAAATCTGCGTAAGCCACCAACTACAGATGTTGTCTTACAACATGACAATGTGTATATAACAAGACTATAACATCTTATGAGGCAGCAGCAGAAACACGGGAGGCTGGCATGTGTGGCTTTATTCCCTGCTACTGTGAACTGTGTAGACTAGGCTGACTAGCAGTATATTGTAATATTTTGCTCTTCACAACAACTTTGTTTCTGCAATTACTTTCAGCATGTTTCTTACATGATTACGTATATATGTCATAAAAGTCATGTGGAATGCAGAAAAATGCAGAAAAGCTACGTGAAATCCAATCAGATGATTTCAAACCACATATCTGTAGTTTAAAAACAGATTTGTAAAAACTGTATTTTGTGATATTTTTTGTCGTTCACACAGGCTAAATATAAGATTCAAATTGGTTTGACAGTATGAACAAGGCTTTCAATACAGTATTTTGAACAAGTGAAATGGGAATGCAAGCCAACTGGAAATTCCTTTTAATGCACTCAACACTTCAGAAAGCACCAAGGTCCCTAGAGACTATTTAATTAAATGGTAATTTAGGCAATACACAGCATTAAATAAAGTAAGCCTACCACAGCAGTAACTTGGATTCTGTCCAGAAGTGCTCAAGATTATCCAAGTAGCTTAAAGAGAGAGGAAAACAAATAGAGAAAGACTATAAATAAAAGAGGACGACCTACAATAAGAGACTCATACCGGACAGAAATAGGTGTTCTCCGCAATGTGTTTGGCCACAACATTGTTCTCAGCAGAGAGAGCCATGATAAGCAGAAGCGCATCCCTGGCCTGCTGTCCGACTGACCCTTCCCTGTGTATGAAAGGGATGAGTAAGGAAAAGATGAGGAAATTAGCTGCTCCTTGGTCCTCACTTGTATGGAAAAACAGCTCCAGGACTGACGGGTCTTTAGCCAGGACACAGCACAGCTGGTTCAGGAGCAGCACAAGTTCTGTCTCCACAGTGGAAGAGCTCGGACCCGACGGGGAGCCAGAGCAGGATGACAGGAGCATCATCAAGGGCTTCAGTACAGGTTTATGATGAAGTAATGGCTGACTGGCTTGCCCGATCAGCATCTCATACATCTTCAGTTGCTCTATTTTCATATCATCTGTGAATTCTCGCCTCAGGCTCCAGATAAACAGTCTCTCCAACACGTTCTCCATAACCACAAACTCCAGGATGGGCCCCATGGCTCCATTTTGGCCACACTCCTCCTCCATGAGAAGGAAGAGCATGTGCTCTACATAGTTCTGCACAGCGCTGGCCTCATCGCCAGGGATTGGACCAAAACGAAAGCTGCCGATTCCTCCGCCCCCACCAAGACCGTGACCTCCACCCAGGCCACCAACATTACTGCGAAGTGGATCATGCTTCTCTAGAATCTTTACCACCTGAGAAAATGTCAAGAGATCAGAGATAGTTCAAGCTGGAGAGAACGGTCAAAGTTAACAATTTTAACATGCTAATGCGATAGAAAATTACGAAAAGTTCTCTCTTTACAGTATGCAGTCGCCCAAAGTGTTCTTAAAAATAATTAGATGAATATAGTTGTTATTTTTATAGTTAAAAGTTATTATTAATCCTGTTCCTGTAATATATTATGCTAATTAAATCAGAAGTAGGTGAAAGCTGCTTATCCTGATCAACTGAAACAATGGGCCCCCTGTCCTTGTGCTGCTGATCTATTAACATTGCGACAAAACTCCCAGTCAGGTGTGTCAGACTAAGATTTAGTTATTTGCAGAGCCAAGGAAGAGGAAGTGCAAGCAAGGGCAAATGGCATAATGCTCTTAACAAAGTGTATCATTCATCAATGCAAAGTAAGCAGGAAGAGGTGAAAGAGTGAAAGTGTTAACGAATGCAATGGAGTACTAAACTATTCAAATGATTTGATATGCCGTTACCAAACATACTAGCTTGCTTTCAGAAAACCACCGTAATTTCTGTCTTTAGAGTTTCTCTAATGGCCTGAACTTGTCTTCTGTACCCAAACAATGCCTCCTATGTTCTGGAGCATTCTGCTGAATCAACAGGAGAGGTCAGGAGCCTTATTCACAGTGTAGCATTACAACAGGATAGCCTGTTCTAAGACCAGTTCAATCCAGTTTAATTTACTTATTTTAATGATCGAAAATGTTATATTTTATTATCCACAAAATAATACCATTTAAAATGTAAATATTTTATTTTAATTGTATTATCTTATTTTATCATGACGCTTCAAAACTCCTAAAAAGTAAATAAAAAAACAACACTACTTCTATAATATTTGGTTTGTACACTTTTCAACTAACAACTTATTTGTATTAGACCTGTATATATGCTGTATATTGACAATCTAATTTTATACAAAACAAAAGTAGCAAGAAGGTTGTATAGAAGGTAGTAACGGTTATCTTCTGTCTGCCAGTTATATACTGCATTATAAAACATTATTTCCAGTACAAAAAAAATACACTTGAGAGTTCCTTAGCAAAGAATTTTAAGAAAACATGTAATTCTCATTTGGAGGTCATCACAATGATTGTGTGTTTTATTTTTTTATTTTGCCAACAATAGCAACATGTGTACATAAAACAGAAGAGAAATAGCACTGCATAGTTGAAGAGAGTGTTGTTTATATTTACGAAGAGCACATGCGGAAAGATATTGCGTACCTGCGCCCAGTGGTTTTTGAACACAATCATGCATGTTTCAGGGTCCACTCCTTTCAGGACCAGTGACTGGCCATCTCGGATCCCATCGGCAACCATGGATGTCATTGTGGTGCCCTCACTAAACCATCATGTTCAGGTTGAAGGGTGGCGCTGATGCCAAATTTCAATGTGGACAACTGCACGGTACTGTAGCATTAGACACTGATCACCTGCAGATTAATAAATCACAGAAAAACCTGATTAAAAAATGTATAAAAAAAATTAAATGAACAGTTTCAATAAATCTGAAATTGAAAAAAAATGCAAAATTAATTTTAATGTATTAATTAACTAACTAATGTATTAAATCATACATACACACATAAAAATAAAATATAAACATCTATACTTGGAGTTCCGGTGGGATGAAGTAGGCTACTTGCACAGCACAAACCAAACACTAATAGTAACATGTCTGTTTCAAATGGGCATCGCTTTCAGTAGATGTCTTGGCAACAGCATTGTGTCATCTTTAGAAAATCGAAGCCTTCCAAGCAGGATTTGCTGGGATAATGTGGCTGCCTAAACCCTAAACATAAGAGGGACTTCTTTATGAAAGTGAATGAATGCACTGCCATCACTTCTAGATGTTAATTAACAGCATGTGGATGTGAGTGTTATGCAATTTCATAGCCTACATGTTAAGGCTTATGTAATGCTTTCTAAAAAATATATATATATATAGCAATACCGCATAGCTTTCTCTCTACTGTGTATGCCAAGCTATTTTTATCAAATCAATAAGCAGATCCACAGCCTTAAGCATTTAGATAACAGCTATTGGCTTAAACCAAATGTGTGTGCACTAGTGATTCTAGATGGACACAAAGATAACCTTTGTCTCTAGTCAAAAATGCATGTGGGGAGTATTATCTATAGATTCATGGTGTGTGTCTAAAAGATGAGCAAAGACATTCTCCACAATCCATGTCGTCTGGAGTTCTTTCTAAAGAAAGATCACACCTCCAAGAATGCAGTTGTGAAAATTAAGTTGTGACCAAAAATCGTATATAATTTGAGATATATTATTGCACGCTCTGGGTATTCTCTCAAGCTTCGTGAGATGCATGCTGGGATGCTGTTTAAACCTATTACGTACCTTAAACATTCCTCTGTAGGATGTTTGGCTCTTTTTCCTTCGCAGTCATTCAAACTCATCAATTTAAAATTGATTTGTTTCTTTTATAAAGTCATTGATATGTAGGCACAAACTGTCTAAAAAAATGCAGTTTTTGTTTTTTATGAAGAGACCATTTTTAATGTTTTTCCCTATAAATAAATACATAATGATGCAATTATAAATACAACACTAACTACTAAATAAAACACTATATTAAACATAATATGCATATTTTATTCTCTTTATTCTTCTTATCAACAATGGAAGGGAAAAATTATCCTCGGCAGCATTATCTCCTGAAGCTGCAGTGGCTCATGCAGTCTCTCTCTACATTAGATTAAAGTTTAAGAAGTGTTCTCAGCATAAGCATGTGTACAGCACACCGCTATTAACAGGACCCTAAATGAGTGCATTACACACCACAACTGAATCTTTACACTACACTAACCAGCCAATCAGTAGCCAGAAACCATGCCTGAATTAGAACCAATCAGTGCAGAAAGCTCAATCTATCTCAAACATAAATGTGACAGAAATAGGCAGAGATACACGTGGGGCTATCCACTCTCACTAAAGCACAGAAACAGAGGGGAGACCGTCAGAATGGATTTTAAATTTCCACCTACCTCAGTCAGACTACTGCTGAAAGCTGCTGCCGGGGACAAAGTATTTCGTAAGGCATAAAACATCCACATCTTCAGAGGGTTCAGGAGTCTCATCTGAGACATGTAGATTGAGATCTAGTCAGGGGGCTCTGAAAAAGATTTTAACAAAATGGGAAGAACAGCTTAGCTGTGCTAGTGAGAGCAGTGTGAGTGAGACGAGCAGGGCCAGGAAATGACTAGATGGATCAGAGCAGTGACAAAGAGCTTTAGAATGGTACTGCAGAAGAGCAGGAATGAGAATGAGGAAGACACCAGAAGAGGCGGGAATTCAGAAACGCAGAAAGCAGGAGAAGGGGAGAGAGGAAACTAGTTTCTGTGAAAAATTCCAAAATTGCAACTGCATAAAATCCTCAAATAAAGTTAGCCTACTCTTAAATCCCATTCAATAAATGGACAGACACAAAGAGCATGAAAATACTGATCCCATGAGCCACTGCAGCTTCAGGAGATAATGGTTAAACTGCTGGGGATAATTTTTCCCTTCCTTTGTCAGGACCAGCCCTGCCAAAAAAAATCCAGGTTCCCATAGGGCAAGTTATATATCTTGAGCACCAAATGAGAATATGAAATAATTCTGAAGGATCAAGTGACACTGAAGACTGTGGCCAAAGACTATAGAATAACACAGGATGAGTCACTCCTATTGTTTTGAAAATGGAAAAGTGCAAAGCTCAATATAGTGGAATAGGTCACGCCTTCTAAATAAGAGCCAATCACCGATTGGTAAAGTCATCGCATCACTGCAGCTGCCGTTAGAAGCTCCGGTTAGTCAGACGCCCACTTCCACTGCGCATGAGCTTGATCCAGCCTGAAAATGTTCATTTTCTGTCATGATACTAGTGTTTAGAAACTAAATTTATGAGACCGTTGTTGTCAGATTTCAAATATGAAATTTAATTGTAAGCTAAGAGAACAGTTTTTGAGAATTTGATGTTTCCCCATAGATAGGACCAGCACTTGCATGCCCGAGAGGCGTTTCAAAGATGGCCGCCGAGTGAAATGACCTATGGAAATGACTTGTCTTAAAAGGGACTTTGACTGTGGCCCTCTGATGTTTAGAAATGGCTGCTGAAACCTTTTTCCATTACAGGAAACAATTAAATCAGATTTAATTAAATTTGGTCAGTCTGATCAAGGCCTTTGCTATGCTAAATTGTGATGCTTTTGAGTTTTTATTGAGAAGCATGTCCTTGGAAACAAAAGGCGTCATGGCAAAACAAACATACAAATGTACAATTTGCCCCAAACCTCATGTTTTTAAGTCCTGGCCTGAAGACATGCCAATTTACATTATAGTCATAGCCAATATTATTAGAGTCATATTTGCAACAGGGACTGACAGATGATTTTACACTGCGTTTTATAGCAGTGGTTCCCAATCCTGGTCCTGGAGCACCCCCAGCACTTTTAGGGGCCTCCCTAATCAAACACACATGATTTAACTCATCGGCTCATTAGTAAATACTCCAAAGCCTTGTTCAATCCAAATCCGATTTTTGTGTATATCTGTTCAGTAATCCAATCATATTTAGCAAGTGTTAATGGCAAAAAAAAAAAAAATGTGACATAGAGCCACACATACCAGCCTCCTACAGTTCTGCCGCTGCCTCCTAAGACGCAGTAGTCCAGCAAGGCGGCTGCTACACATTGTTCAAGTTGTAAATAAGACAACATATGTATTGCAAACACCTCCATGTTGCAGTTGTTGTTGTCATTTTTGGTGTACCTACCAATGCAACGTCATTGCCATAGAAATCAATGCAGATATTCCAGAAAACGAAAGAGAGGCATGGGACACACAGATCGGATCTGAACAGTTGCACTACACAATGTGGACAGTCAATAATTTTAGATCAGATTACAATTGGATACACAAATATTTAGATTTGGACTGACAGTGTGAAAGTAGCCCAAGACCTTAAAGTATGTCTAAGATAAGAGAGACACCAAAAAAAAAAAAAGAGGGTGAGGCCTGGTTGAGTCAACAATGAAAAAATTGTAGGAAAAATTTGTTTTTTGAACAATAAATTATGAAAATGCATTCTAGTAGACCCCTTAAAATTATGAACCTGTAAATTGGAATAATAGTAGCCCTTTAAAATAAAAGAATAAATGGATAGTAAACCAAACAAACAATTTTCATATCTTCATATAATAAAATGGTTGTCTTAAAGGAATAGTTCACTTACAAATGAAAATTCTGTCATCATTTACTCACCCTCATGTCGTTTCAAACCTGTATGAATTTATTTCTTCTGCTGAACACAAAGGAAAATATTTTGAAGAATGTCAATGTTCAGCAGAAGAAAGAAATTCATACAGGTTTGAAACAACTTGAGGGTGAGTAAATGACAATTTAAATTAAGTGAACTATTCCTTTAAGTTCACTTAAATTTATTGTAGATCCTTATACACAAGGTTATGATGCCTTTGGAAGTTTCCTTACATAATGCTTTCATACAAAAAGACGGTCACTTAAATCATTGACTGGGTAGCAAGGCAGCCATCTTCAGTTTCAGACAAACTGCAACTGTGCATCAATGCCCAAACAATGTACCAGTGTGTGACAAGTGGACAAGTACATCTACTGTTAATCATATGAACCTGGCTAGTGACTATTCAGCAGCATTATGCCACATGCCTGACCTTTACCGAGCGATCCAAATGACTAGACACAAATCACATTCAGTTATAATGTCTGAATGCTATGTAAAAAAAAAAAACATTCATTGCAATAAAGGCAGCTTACTAGCCACTTCTTAAAGTAAGAGGTGGTCCAGATGCAGTACGCTCACAGGAAATGACCAGGGTAAGCGTTCTGTTATCAGAAAAACGTGACCCAAATTGCACATACACTCATTAATCAGAGTGAGAGAGAGAGGGGTGGACAGAGTAAACCACTGGAGAGGAAACTACACTGGATTCTTGATCTTGTTCTACTTCTTCAAAGAGATCAGAGGAGATACTGGGAAAAAACTGGAACAGAGGCACTACAGATATTAGGAAATGACTTTCCTGACTGAGCAGCACATATGTCTTATCTTAGTAATGGTCTAACGTGTGGGTGTATGAGAATGAGGTCACTCATGATGAGCACACAGGATCTGTGTTGTTTACCTCAGATTAACAGCACTTATCCAATTAAGGTCATTTAGTTAATTAGATAATTTCCACTTCCTGAGAAACTACAAACCACAAAAAAAGAATAATTTTAAGGTAAATGTATAATCCAAAAAGACAGTCTCACAACACCTCTCCATTTTTGCCTGCTTAGGAATGAGAAACCGATTTTTATCTGAGCACCAATGCTGGTCACATCCAATAAAGCAGGTCTGAAATGACATCACCCTTTAAATGTCATGCCACACCACTGAAAAACAGGTTCCATGTGTTTGTAGTCACGCCAAAACTCACAGGACCTCATAAGAGCACCTGTTCCTATACGAGAAAAAAAAAATCTAACCATTTTCAAAGTTTAACGACTGAGATACGGCAGAGTTCTCTTTTTTTACAAGGTCATCACTTTAAAAAGTAATGTGATACTGGTCAGGGCTGGACTATTTGTTTGGAGTCCCTTTGTGATTGACTCTCCTTTGAGAATAGGTTGGGTTTCACGCCCTTCAGGCCAAAAGGAGTGTCCTTGGAGCTTTTCGTGCTGAAGCGAGAGGTTGAGTAAGACAGTCCCACCCTATCACAGGGCTGTCGTAACTTGTGTTGGAGATTGTTCTGTGCGCATTCATTTACTAGCACTTGCCTGACACATTCCACACCATATGTTCGACTGCCATATGTCAGATCAGTAGCTCAGAACATTCATTTGAAGCAAGGTTGAAATGAGGTCGGTTAAATGAACAGCAGCATTACTCAGAAAAAACCCTCATTAAGTTATATGAAGACTTTTACAAGTCAAATTTGGCATTAGGGTTAAATAATGAAATGGAACAAGAAAACATATTGAGTAAAAAATCTATTCTATAAAACTACACTTTAAATTCTATTCTTAAAAAATTTGTTTTAGTGCATTGAAAACTAAAATTACTCATTTTAAATGCTAAGCATTGCATGTAGTGTGAAAATGGGTATTCACTGAGATTTGCTGTAGAAAGAATACATTTAACAATGTTACTTTTATTTAAAGATTAAATTGAAATGAGTGGTAAATGATGGCAAATGTAATTGAAATAAAAATAGGGGCAAATGAGCAAGTATAATTAAATATTCAATATCTAATCATTTCTGATTTTGTTTAATTAAAAAAAATCCACTATGGGGCGATAACAAATATGGTACATTGAGAATATCGATACAAATAGAAACACGATGCACATATACAGTAATAGACTACCAAACTTAATTGTAAAATTGCACACTTTAATTAGACATCTAAATAGGGACATTCCATAAACGTCTATTGTTTTATGTACTGTACAGCTAAGTATAAATACAATAGGCTAACCTGAACCCCAAAAATGTATTCTTTAAACCATTTTTACAAAACAACATTCATTTGAAGCAAGGTTGAAATGAGGTCGGTTAAATGAACAGCATTTAACCGAAAGGAGGTTCATAAAAGGAGGTTTTGTCAGATTTAGCTCAATTTGGGGTACTCATTTGTCTCCAACATACAGTACACGTTGTTGTTGTTGTTTTTTTATTTTATTTTTATGAGGACTCTACAGTCATAATATTTTTTATACTGTACAAACTCTTTAATTACAAAAAAATTATAAAAACATAATTTAGTAAGATTTATAAGCGGTTTTCCTAATGGGGACCAAACGTTTGTATCGAGAATGTCAAAAATATTAGATTTTACTATTCTTGTGGAGAATTTTTGGAACCAAACATAAACACATAATACACATACACACGTCTATTCAAAGATTTACTTATCAGCTGCCACAATAATGTCTTTGAGTTATTCATTTCTGTAAATATTGAGCAAAATTAATTAGCTCTTGCAATTCATTTGATTAAATAGACTGATAGCCATAGGCATGCAAATTTTAGAAAAATAAAATAAAACCACTAAAACAAAATAAAAAACTATAATTAAAAATTCCCAATATCACAAAATTACCACATTACC